AAAAAAAAAAAAAAAAAAAAAAAAAAAAGCATAAAAATTTTGTCGTTATAACTTACCCAAGTATTCTTTTGCCTGCCTCAGTTAATGAAGCTATTTGTGTCGAAGAAGTGAAACCAATTTGTGGTTTCCAAGTATTTCCAGTATTACGATTCATTTGATCAAAATCTTGAGGTTTCAAAACTTTTGGTGGTTCTCTAACACCTTTCAATTTTTTCGCAGGGAAAATAAAATTACTACTATATTTTGGATCTCTGAATTTAATACTGTAACAGAAAAAAAATAAATTTATATTTTTATTTTAGAAATAAATAAATGAAAAGAGAATCTAATATATTTTATATATACCAATACACTTTATTATTCCTAATTGGTAATAATCCATTTATAGGCGAAGGTAAAGTAGCTCCGTCTCCGACACAATCTTCTGTCAATAAAACCGTACCTCGCATACCATCTATACATATTGAAGTTTCTGCATCGGATCGTACATGATTCGTATAAAGTCCCTTCATAAAATTATAACCACTATTACCCAGTCCTACATATAATCGATCATCTCCTCGAACATTTCGTATTTCTAAAATACCAATATAAATTTTATACCATAAATATTAAAGAAATTATATATTTACAAAATTGTTGATAATAAAAATTAGCATACTTTCTGCTTCTGTCAAACAATCGTAATATGGCTCTAATGCCTTGAATAAACGTTTTTCATCCACAAAAGGAAGTAAAGCTACTCCTTGCCAAGCAAATTTTTTACCATTTAAATCAATTTTAAAATCTTCTGGATAAAAATCAATAATTGGTGATTTCTAAATAAAGTTATAAAGTTATTAAAATTAAAAAATTGATAAATATCATCAAAGTTATTTTTTTATTTTATTTATACATGCGCAAATTTCCACTCACTGGATCACTCATTAATTTTGCCCATGGTACAGGAACGTGTTTACTACTAGCCGCTGGAAATACACCCATCAATTGTTCTAATGGACGGAACTAAAATGTTCAAAAGAAAAATAATAAATTTCGTTGTAATATAATTTATTAATTATTCGATTTATCTCTTCAAATACTTACTGGTATAGTTCCTTTTTCAAATTCGGTAGAAAGACCGCCAATATTGATGAAATCGCTAGCAAATGGAGCATAATGATACGGAAAATACCATTTCCATGAAGCACAACCTTGATAATAATATCGTAAAACCCAACACAAACCACGTACATATTGCAATGCCACATTATTTCTGTATGTAAATGAATAAAATTTAAAATTCAAATTTTATGGAATATAATATAATTATATCATGAAGTGTTCTCACCTGAATGCCAAATTATCAGGAGAAACATCAAATTTTGATTCATAATAACGATCTTTAAAACCATCTTCCCATAATCTAACTTCATCGTGAGATTGATCATCATCTGAATCATCTTCAAGTACTTCACTTTTTCGTTTTCGTTCATGATCAGTCGAATTCTATAAATAATCGATATATAAATATAATACATAAATATATATAAAAAATATACACAAAAATAAAAGTAGAAATATAGATCATACTTCAGGACGTATCATACTTTCTAACATCTCCTTAGCATTTCCTTTTTCACTTGTATGATAATTTTGACCATGAATACGCATTTGGTAAGCTTCATAACGCGCATTTTGTACCGGTTTAATATGTTCACCAATACGCTGTAACAAAGATGTAATATTATTAAAATTGAAAATCGTTTATAAATATTAAGAAAAACGTACCGTCGGTGCAAATTGTCCCGTAGGAATCCATTTTGGTTTATTATTACTGATTCCCAATAATCTTCTTTTTTTATCTTTTTCACGTTGTTTATAGGCTAATTCATTCTGTTGTCTTTTCTTGAAAATTTCATCTTCAACATCGCCTAATTCAGACATTATAAGTTGAACTCTATCTAAATTAACATCTCCACTATCTGTTAAAAATCCCTATAATTAATAATAAAAATTATTATTATTGAATATTTCTCATTTCTTTGTTTAATGTACAATATTATAACTGATTTTTATTAGATTAATTTTTATTCATTTATTATATTATTGATTTCATATTTTAAAAATAAAAATTTTCAAAAACAAAAAAATAATCATAAAATTTTACATAATTATATAAAACATTATTTCTTTACTTTTATCTTTAATATACATTACGTACTCCTGTTTTATATACTGTTTTTTTATATAAATTAACAAGTCTATCTATTGCCCCTTCTCTAATTTCCAAAGATGGAAGATGAGGAAGAAAATCGTTTCCTACGAAGAAACACATGAACACCCAATCATCGATAACTCGCTCGAAATCGTATTTAAATGGTAGATTAGGCATTTGCAATTCTCTTTCTAAATATTCTCTGAGTACATTTAATCGCACAAATATATACTGGCATTCAGATCCAAAAGTATTCGCTTCTTCCCTCTGATTAGGCTCTGCACCCGTACATTCCTGCATTTCATGTCCTAATTGACCACATATATCACATGGTTTTGGTTTATTTGGCTTAAACTCTTCACGAATAATAGTAAAATTAGGTTCATGAGTTGCAAGACCCAACATAATTAAATCAGCATCAGCTCCACATAAAACGTGTTGTGTATTAGGATCATGATCAGGTTGTGCTTTTATATGTAAATAAAAAAATTTTAAATTTAATTTTTCACATAATATAATAATACTTTAAATATGTAATTGTTTATTTACCTCTTTGTCTACGTATAAAATCCATTATTTTATGTTCTCCTTCTCCTGGCACATTTGCATCACTTAAAATTACTTTTATATTTCTCCATCCAGGATCATTATTTAAACGGTCATGTATATAATAATGCAAACATTTTGATAATCTTGCCATAAATGGTGTGCCCTAAAATTGAATTAATTATATACAAAATTGTTTTTTATATATAAAATTTAGTAATGAAATTTTATATAAACCGGTGTAATGCAATTGCTATCAAAATGCTCTTCTTTTGGTTTTTCAGGAGGTAAAGATGCTCCTTTAAGAGATAATTCAGAACGTATTCTTTTTATTTCGTTAATTTTTTCACTTGCTTCTTTTGATGCTCTAAATCGTCTTGATCTTTGTTGATTCATTTTTGCTCTGGGTGCCTGAAAATATAACACATGTATAATTACTTTTATAATCAGTAATAAAATTAGATTCTAATAATCAGATAAACACTTACAACTCCATCAATTGCCATGTAAAGTAATTTTCTTGGTCTTACAATGCGAAATAAACGGTCAATGCATTCAAAAATAGCTTCCATCATTTCATCCTCATTTTGTGGTGCAGGTCTTAATAAATATTTATTATTACATAGTAATTTAATTATCTTACAACTTAATAATTATTTCTTCAAATATTTACCTATCTTCAGGATGAGTACAAGGATGTATAATGCCATTCATATCAAGGTATAAGTTATCAAATTCTATTCCATTTGGATTTGGTTCTGCCGAATTCACTGGTACTCGTATACCATTCGTAGTTATCGGCTATAAAATCATATTATTTCATATAGATATTATAAGAAAAATATTCTTCGTCCAAAATAAATAATCTAACCTACCTTCTGCTCGATACATTCTACTATTACAGAAGGGTATTTTCGACTCAACCATCTAAAAAATGCTGGTACACCCATTTTCTATTATTAATTCGTATTTCTCTAAACGACTTATTTTTTTTTTTTTTAATCGTTTTCAAAAATTTGTTGATAAATGAAACGAGTACAACTGTTTTAATCGTACACTCATATTTAACCTATAACATAGATTTATAGATTAAACTTAGTACACAATCTCAACTTATGTGCTGCCATCTTTAGTAATTTTATAGCCATAATAGATGATTACTTTATTTAAATTGTAAATAATAATAAAACTAGATGCATAGAAAGTTGGTTTCGTATAACATTTTAATTAATTAAATTTATTGATTGTATTTATAAGTATAAATTTTGATAAAAAAATATAAAATGATTAATATAAAAATTAAATAATTATTTTACTTTACCACTCCCCATATTTTGTCAGTTACTCATGATAAGTGCGAAAAAAAGCGAATATAGTTATAGGTAAATGTATTTAATAAAATAGTATTGAATATTATAATTTTTTTTTTTTTGTATTTTCTATTAAAAATACATTTAATTTAAATAAATGTAATTATATTATTTTAAAAAATATTCAATTCAATTTAATTGTAATTTTATTTCTATAACTAGGTAAGTAAATTTTAATTGTTTTTTAGTATAGTTGTTCAAATAAGATTACTTGCTTATTAAATATAATTTTTTAAATAAAAAATAATTTTTCAGTAGTTATAAAATATAAAAAAAATAATATTCAATATGAAAGAAGAAAATATTTTATATGGCCCATCATTATCTGATGTGAAATTTAAAAATGTATCATTAGGACAATTGATTTTAAATCAATTAAATATTCGTGATTCTTGGATAGCACAAGTAATAATCTTTTTTCTTTTTATTAAAATTTATATAGAAATAATATATCTACTTTATATTAATTAAAATAACTTTAATTTTTTCAGATAGATGCTTATACAGGAAAAACACAAACATTTAAAGAAATCTTAGAAATTAGTCGAAAATTAGCAATTGCTCTTAGTAAAGAAGGATTAAGAAAAGATGATCGAATAGCTATATGTAGTGAAAACAATCTAGAATTTTGTTTAATAGTATGTGCTGCATTTTATTTAGGTGTTACTGTTTGCCCATTGAATCCACTTTATACAGAAAGAGAATTAAAACATGCATTAAATATATCTAAACCAAAATACATTTTTATATCAATATTTGGAGCAAAAAATATATATAAAATTATACCTCAATTATTCTGGTTGCCAAAACTTATAATATTAACAGAATCTACAAATAATAAATTACCAAGTATTAATAGTCTAACATCAAACATAATCATTGATAATAACTTTCATGCCTGTTCAGTAAATGTTAATGATCATGTGGCAGTTATTTCATGTTCCAGTGGCACTACAGGATTGCCAAAAGGAGTGATGTTAACGGATAAAAATTTTTTGTCTGTAATAAAAAATCTTGCAGCTGTATCACCTAATATTTTAAATACCAATACAACAAGTTTAGCCTTATTACCTTTTTTCCATGTATATTCCTTTTCTGTAATGTTAGTAGGACTTATTTTTGGAAATAAAAGTATTATTCTCCCACGTTTTGAAGAAAAAATGTTCTTACATGCCATAGAAAAATATAAAATTGAGCATATAACCGTTGTACCACCACTCATGGTATTTTTAGCAAAACATCCAATTGTAGATAAATACAATTTATCTAGCATTAAAGAGATTTGGTAAATTAAAAAAAAAAAATTTTATTAGAAAAAGATTTTTAATTTTATCAAAAATCATTTATATCTTTTATTAGGTGTGGTGCAGCACCTCTATCTGAGGAAATTGCAAAAATGGTTGCAAAAAGATTAAATGTACCAACAATAAAGCAAGGATATGGATTAACAGAAACTACATTGGCTGTTATGAACTCACCTGATAATAATACAGAATATAAAAGTGTAGGAACATTAGTTCCAGGAATAGCAGGTAAGTTACTAAAAATTTATTTTATAAATTTTATCTTTATGAACATTAATCATTTATATTTATGAACCTTTTTCTTATATTTAGCAAAAGTAATACCAATCAATGGAGATAAATCAAATAAACCTCTAGGACCACATAATATCGGTGAATTATGCTTCAAAGGAGATTTAATAATGAAAGGATATTGTGATAATGAACAGGCTACAGCAATAACAATTGATAAAGATGGCTGGTTACATTCAGGAGATATAGGATATTATGATGAACAGGGTTATTTCTATATAGTAGATCGTTTGAAAGAACTCATTAAATACAAGGGATTTCAAGTTCCACCTGCTGAATTAGAAGCAATATTATTAACATGTCCTGAAATTAAAGATGCAGCAGTTATTGGATTACCACATGAAGAAGCAGGAGAACTACCGACTGCTTTTATTGTTAAACAAAAAGGATCTAATATAACGGCGGAAGATATTATTAAATTCGTAAATGGTAAATTATTAATCATTTAATTAATAATTCTTTATGTTTTAATGAAATATATTACAGAACGAGTATCGAGTCATAAACGACTTCGAGGTGGCATAAAATTCATTGAAAATGTTCCAAGAACTGCGTCAGGAAAAATTTTGCGTCGAGTATTACGTGATACGCTCAAATCAAAATTATAAAATATCAGCAAAAAAACATGAAGTATTATCAATTTAAACATATTCTTTGTTTATATTTATATTCGTTTTAAAGAGGCTCAAAAGATGTTATAAGTATAAATAATTACTAAAATAATTCAAAAATTTCTATCAAAACATATTTCTTATAAACAATGATCGAGTTTTTACTAATATTTTATAATTTTTTTAATTTATTTCATAAAAAGTTTGAAATATAAAAAAAAAATTACATGTTTTCTATTCTAGTCATATTAATAGAATATTTTGATATCTGATCTCCTATTTAAATATATATTAAATATTTTCTGTAAAATTATATACATTATTGTTCTAATTTTTGCTTTAGTTCGTATGGTATATTATTCAAATACCATTGATGATTCTGACCAGGTGCAGTAGCTAATACACCTCTTTCATTAGAATATATTGTTTCTGCATTATAAGAATAGAACTCTCCATAAATATCAGTTAATGTACCACCAATAGCATGAAGAATAGCTTCAGGGGCACAAGTATCCCATCTTTTACAACCATTACTAGCAAATACATAAGCATGAGCTTTTCCTTCCATTAAAAGTATTACCTATTGAAAAAAAATAAAAATACTAAAATTATTTAGAAAATAATAATTCATTCATGTAAAATTTTATATTATTCTAATTACTTTATATCCAGCACCACCAACATGTAAAACTTCATCAGGAGATAAAGCATTTATAGCTGCTTGAACATTACTGTTTGAATGTGAACTGAAAAAATATGTTTATAATTTTCTCTTTAAAATTTAATTAACTTAATTATTTTAAAATAAAATTATACCTTGTAGTTGTAACTATTATTTTTCCATGTGGTGGAGCAATTGGTGCAAACCCACCAAATCCTACACCATTAATACCCCAAAGAGTACGTCCTAGTATTTCATTCTCATTATTTTTGTAATATGGTTGATGAATTACACCTCCAATTGCTCTATGTCCAATTGCCACTCCTACTAATACTGTAACATGTTCTACAAGGCCTTGTGCATATTCTGATGTTCCTAAAAATATTAACTTGACTTAATATATTTTACAAATAAAATATATTTACATAATATAATTGAAATAAATAATATATACAAATACCATCTAATGGATCTACCCAAATACACACATCCTTAGGATCTATATTTTCCAAATGGGTTGGTAATTTTAATTGTAACATTTCTTGATCTGCATCAGTTACAATCCAATCATATGGTATATCACAGTTTGATGGTTCCTCTTCACCAATAATAGTAATATTTGGAAACTGTTGACTTAATGAAGCAATAATACACCTTTGAGCACAACGATCAGCTTCAGTTTGTAAATCATTTTTGCCCTTTTCTATTATATTTAAACTTCCATGAGTCATAACATCTCTTATGATTTTACCTGCTCTTACAGTAGCAGATACAGAAGTGGCCATTATTCGAGATAATAGACAAGCACTTTGGGCCATTTTATAATTTATTCATGTGATATTAAATATCTACACTATTTTTCTTAACAAGAGTCACTAAATCTTTCACTTACAATTCTTCAAATATATTTCACACATGATTATTCTAGATCATAGCCACTGAAAAAATTATAACAAAAAGCTTAGAAAGTAATATTTATTTTCAAGGTTATATTAAGTAATACAAGAAAATAAAATATCATAAATTTCTTTCTAAAGCTACATATTAACTCTTTAATATTTTAGTAAGTTAAATAATAATAATTTCTTTATATTTATATTTGTTAAATATTGAAAGCAATGTAAATGAAATTTCTAATAATAAATATATGAAATGAAGTACATTCAATATTTTTTTAAATTATATCTCTAGATAGTAATTACTATAATATTTCAAGAAATCATAATTTTTATAAATTTCTATAATAAATATATAAAAAAAATTAAATAAAAATGTTAAAAATATTTAACTTTATTTCAAATAAAAATATAAATTTTGATTTAAAAATTACATTATACAATGTAAAATTAGCTCAATTAATTTTTCTGTTATATATAGGATCAAAAAATTAATATTGATAATATTTAATATTAATTAATATAATGTCATTATTTTTAAATTATAAAATAAAAAATAAAAGTAAAAATTAAATTTATAATTATATATAAAATTAATAATAATTACTTAATAATTCGTAATATCTGATCAATTAAAAAATTAATGAATAATTATAACGAATTGCATCACTATTCATATAATAATTCAAACATTTAATTAAATATTATACTATATTAACTAATATTATACTATACTAACTATATATCAATATATATAATAAATTAAAATTATATAAAGAATCATTTTTATACTTTAGTATTATAGATTTGATTATTTTGTATCATTGTTTTAAAATCACATACATATGTATATAAATTTTAATTATAATAAAAAGTAAAAAATAATGATTGCTTTATATGTATATTTTTTCTCAAATAATAACAATTTGAAATACCTACTAAAGTGAATTTCAAACTTTATTATCGAATTTTATGTCAAATTGTGAAGCGTATAAAAATAACCTTAAAAATATTTTAAAATATAACATTTATTATAAAACAAAATAATAAATAGAATATTATTATATGACAAATTAATAATATTATCAATTATCTTTATGTTACGAATTACTAAGTTATATAATAATGTTATTTTTTATTTTACAAAAAAATATATTTCGTATTCAAGTTTGCAATTATCATATTGTAGAACAAAATCAGATAATACAAATTATTTAAATATTATAAAAAATAATCAAATTTCACTATCTTCTGAATATTTACAAAATATTAATCTTGTATTTAAATGGAAAACTATACAACGTTATTTAAACTTATCTTCAAATAATAATGATCCATATTTAATAAATGAGAATGTAAGCAATAACTTCGTTAAATTAATTAAAGATGATTTATTGTTAAATATGTCTTATGTTGTTGAATTAAATCCAGGATTTGGTTTATTAACAAAAGATTTATTAGAAGCTGGTATAAAATACATACATTTATATGAAAATCGTAACATATTTTATTTGAAATTACTTAATTTACAAAAAATCTTTCCTAATCAAGTTACTATAACTAAAACAAATTTTCTTAAACTATCCAAGCTGTTATATATACCTAATAAATTAAAAGAATTTAATCAATTATTTGATAATGTATCAAAAAAAAAATGGGAAGAAGAAAGTTATATGCAAATAGTTGGAATATTAATTAATTCTCAGTTTATAAGACATATAATATTAAGTATAATATTTCAAACAGGCATTATGATAAATGGAAGAGTAATTTTTTATCTTGCATTACCACCATCTATATGGCATGTTAGTATTCATTTTATATATTCAATATATACAACATTTAATATTTTTTTACTTAATTATAAGTCAAATAACTATAATAATAATTATTATTAAAACAATTATTATTGAAACATTATATTATCAATATATTGTATTTTTAGAAGTTGATATATCAGAAGAAAAGAAGTTTAGTTACTTATATCATGTTTAATACATTATTTAATTATAAAATATTTGGGACATTAGATAAAAAAGGATTTTTATTATATCAAAGAAAAAAAAAATTAAAGAAAAAATGTAAAAATAAAGAAATTGATAATTTTTTTTATGTTGTTAAATTAGAACCAAAACCTGATATTTTTACATTATTTGGTGAAAAAGAACATATAATCAATTTTTGGCATTTTGTTCGACATAATTTTTATAAACCTTCATCAAGAATAATACCAACTTTGGAGTGAGTATAAATGTATTAGAATTAATATTTGCTCAAAATTTCTATTAAAATATATTATATAATATATAAATATTTTTTCTATTAAAATTTTTTCAGGAAAATAATTCCTGGATGTGGCATAAGATTAATAAAAGAAAAAAATTATAATATATTCACTGAATTTCATCAGTTAAATGTAAATGAAGTTTTTAATCTTTATATGGATTTTAAATCTTGGCCAGAATTTAAACAAAGTTCATTTTTATCAAGTGTTAATGATATAAAAATAAATTTTGATCCATTTGCAAATGATTAAATATTAAATATTTTTGAATTATAAAA